TGATGATTGGATTCATCCCAGTACACTTGTTCTTGGCAATGGGGTTCCTTAATTGTCTGTTTTGGTCTTAATTCTTCATTTGGGTATGATTGTTGGATTATTTTACTTTCTGTTTGGTTTGACTTCTTTTTGCTGATGGATCTCGGCTTCATTGTGCCGAATTCAGGTTCTTTTCTTGCCTTTTTATTCAGAAGGAGCAGATGATTTAAGACTCTGCTCTTGTGTTGCTATTGGCAGAATTTTATTTAACTTGGAGTTAGAACTCAAACCACTAAATTAAAGAATTTGTGATTTTGACACTTTTGTTCTCATCTTAATAAACTAAAACAAATCCAAGAATTTTGCAATGTAAATGTTTGAGTTTATTGTTTTTAAGATTGAAGTTCGTTAATTATGTTTATTTTGAGTTCAGTTCTTCTCTTGAATTTTAAGTTCTTTATTGCCTTGTTTCAACTTCTTGATGCGTAAAAAAATTTGGAAAATTTTATTTTTATCCGAATTCTATTACTTGGGGGAGGTATACAATCTACATACATGCTACTTGGTACTTCAATGTAATCTTGACATTTGTCTCAGTTTTACTCTGTTATTTCTACATCATAATAAAATTATATTTGAAGTCTCAGTGATGACGACCAGTGATCTTTAACTTAGTGTTATTGTTAGTATGGAAGCAAACTTGACTTTGAGAAATTATATGAATTATTCTGTTACTTAAAATTATATTTTAAGTCTCAAAAGATGTAGGAAATGTCGCAAGGAGTCCGGGGTATTTTTTGGTGATTTATTCAGATTTATTATGATTTTTAGAAGTCAAAATATTGAAAAATAGAAATAAATGGAAGAAAGTGACACATGGCAGCACACGATGGGTGTGTCGTAGCTTTTCCAACAGGTGTCAGTATTTTGTAGCTCCATGTGTCATTAATGTTTCATTTTTGTGAGTTTATCTTAAAAAATTCACAAAAAATAATTTTAAAAAATCAGAAAAATACACCGAAAATTTCTGCAAATTTGTTGTGACTCTTATGCTGTAAAATTGAAATTTGACGTTGGAAAATTTGAAGTAATAATTAGAGGAAAAGTTATAGTAATGAAGACTAGTGATCTTTAACTTAGTGTTATTGTTAGTATGGAAGCAAACTTGATTTTAAGAAATTATTTGAATTTTTCTCTTAGTTAAAATTATATTTTCGTTGTAAATGCATGAGTTGGTGTATAACCACCATACCTCTTAGCATTCACCCTTTCTAATTCTATGTAACCTATACACTAAATGGCATAGTTTTGGACTTATAATTTATGGGTTGTTAATGTCTTCTTATCACTATAAGCCTATAAATCAGAGGTCTTACCAGGATGAGATATACAAGTTGATTGACACAAATTCTATTGTCTTTCTCTACCTTCCAATTCTCTCTACAATTTTCCCTTAGTTATATAACACGTTATCAACACGATTACTCTTCAAGCCCCAATGAGCTTGCCAATTATGTATGTGATCAGTGGTAACTAGAAGAAAGCTAATTGAGATGAATATTGAATTCCAAATAGATAAGTTTCTTATTTGAATTTCTATTACTACATTGATTTGCATATTCTTATCTTACCTAAGTATTGAAATTATATTTTGTTTTTGTTTTTTTGTAAGAGAATCATGATTTTCATTAAAATCAAGATTTTGTATTCTATCACTCATCAACGTGATATGAACTACAATTTCTAATTCTTATGACTACCTAGACAATAATACAAAGAAAAATGCAATGAGAAATCAAGACTTGAAGATCTTGACCCGATTTCTTATACAATTAATGGAGAACTAGAATTTCCTTGTTCTTATTCAGTCATGTAAGGACCAGAAGATCCTTAGAATTTCCTTGTTCTTATCTTCCAGTTGCAATGAAAAAGTTAGCTAGGTGCCGGGGCCCTCGATGTGCTAGCAATCGGCACATAGGGGAGTGGTTGACCGGGTTTCTTGGCCTGGTCTCCTGCACATATTTGTAGCATTTGAATCAATTAAGTTATAAACTTATAACTACAATTGCCTAATTTGTTGGGGCAGTCATTACCATGGTCTTAATTCTTTATCTACTTTTTTTTTTTCCCTGGGAAATGATATTGTGGGGCTAATTAGCTAATTGGAGGAAGTTATGACTTGGACTTAGGCCTCTGCTATTTTGGGGATCTCTTAGTTGGGTCAGGTCTCTAAAGCCTGGTTGATTTGCTTGCCCTCCCCACTCCAGTTCACAAAGAAAAAAAGACTATTGTTCTCTAAAATTGGAAGATGAAAATTTTCCTCTTAGGCAGTCAATGTTAGCCTTGGAAGTTCGCATAATTGCTTTTTGAATGTTGGGACTCATTTTATTAAGTTGTGCCCACTCAGATTACCCCACATCCCACAATAGCTTATCCAATGGTCTATAATAGTGGCGCATCCATGCGCAGGGCGCACCGTAGAATTTTCCCCACTCAGAGGGTTGAACATTATTGCTATCAATATTTTATTATAGTTGTTATCAATATTTTATTATAGTTGTTAGTTGGACGTTCGCATTATTGCGATCAATATTATTGCTATCAATATTTTATTATAGTTGTTAATTGCAAACAACTTGTGAAAAATGACAATCCTCCAAGAAAAACAACTCTGAACTTGGACTTTGAATGATTAACATGGAAGATGAGCTGGTATCTGTTATCAGCTACCTTAAAAATAGAAGGAAATAGTCAAAACATATATGACATATATCACGACAACAACTTTGAGGCCTTGTTTGGTTCACAGAAAGAATTAGAGGGAAAATCATTTCCCATGTCATTTCCTAAGGGATGGGAAATGGAAGATTCCTCTCCCACGTTTGGTAATACTGAAAAAGTAATCTGAAAATAGCACTTTATTTTCTTTCCCATATTTGTTTTGAGTAGGAATTGAAAACAAAGTTTGTATAAATTTTCAGTTATACCCTTTTAAATTAAATAAAAGAAAGTATAGCCCAGATAAATTCTTTCTTAATCTTTATTATTTTAAGACGCTCCCAATGTCGATTCTTTCTTGATTTTTTTTATATTAGTAACCTAGACATACATGCATATCAATAAGAATCATTGTTTCTACAACTCGAAAGATGGGTTCTGGCTCTTCTGACAGCAAAACCAAAATATGCTAAATCACAGAAGAATTGCAGTATGAGAGCCTTTGACTGCGAACCCATTTTTGTCACTGTACATTTTGATGAATAATTAAAGACAAAAAGCAAAAACTCCTAATGCAAGCATGCAATTCTGTTAATTGATCTTCACAAAAATCATGAAATTCTACTTTCTAGAGAGGTTTTTCAAGGGATCCAAACAGCCCAAAGAAGAAAATAATCAATGGAACCAGTTTTGTGAAACTATATTCTACCTAGAATTAGCAATTGAAAAGAAAGATTATATTTTCTTCACTGATAAACACCGCAAAAGGAGAAAGACTTGAATTTTCTATTTAATCATGTCCCTGTTTTCTCGGTAACCAAACAGATGGTAACGAAGCCAAAGGGTTACGAAGAAAAGTACCTGTAACGTTGTGAGTTGGTCCAGTATTTTTGATTGTTGAGAAACCGCGGGGAAAGCTAATGAGAACAAGAAGAGCATCGAAACGACAGCGTTTTAGCAGTCTCTGCTGCACCTATGAAGTGCGAACCTTCCAGGCTTCTTTCCAATCCACTGTTTCAGAAAACTCACCCTAAAGTATCGCTCATTCTCTCTCTAACTCTCTCTTTTTTATTTTTTTGTTTTTATTTTTTAATTTACCCTTTTGTTTTCTTTGGTTGATGTGGGGTCCAGACGGAGGGGCCTAGCCTCTTGGGCTTTTTTTATTTTTTTGTTTTCGTGTTGTTGTCTGAATCTCCTTTTCTTTGAGAAATTTTTCTGGAGAACGTATAAATTTGACTGTGTCAACGGGGTCTAGTCCAGTGAATTGCGTACGGGTGGTTTCAAGTTCAAAACTTACCACGACTTAATAGTGTCTATGAGAAACTACTATTCTCCTTGTAGTTTGACAATCACTTGTATTAAAATAAATAAATTTGACTCTGCCAAAAAACACTTTATTTTTAAAACTGTTTATGTGTAAACATTGTTGTTTTTATGCTAATTTGCAAGTCTTCACAACTATCCCCAACTGAATCTTATTTTATTCATAGGAGTTTGGTTTTTGTGTTATTTTACTTGTCGGAGGATGATTTTAATTTGGAACCTCTCTCAACAAAATGGAAATAAATATATCGCTAGATCAATAGCTATTTGGTAGATTTGGTTTGTTGATTGTTTAAATACAAATACAAACACAAACAGGAAAGGTAATTATGCTTGTTTATGCTTGGCTCCTAAATGATTCGTCATGAGGAGAGGCATCAGAGACAACTTCATGCTCCGACACTAATTGAAATTAACCAACTAATCCTCCATTGCAGATTAACCATCTTCAAAGAAGCTAAACAAGTGGATAAGAATTTTATTCAGTGGAAAAAAAAAACTGCAAATAGATTCATCTTAAGATCAACAAACAAGTTTCTTAAATTTGCAACTTTCATAGCAGAATCCTTCTAGGACAGAATTGGACTTGCAAAATAAAATTGTTATAAAATCCTTCTAGATATTCCAGATTAGGTGATCTCTTGAGCAACTCTGTTGGCAAATCCCAGTTGTAGCAATCATGAAGAACCAGCTTCAATTCGTTCAAATTATCAAAAGCAGAAACACAACAAGCCTTCATAACAGATGAAGTATTGATCAAACATAGTTGCCAAAATGGAAACAGGATTTCAGTTACGAACACTACGTTTGGTACAAAGAAAAAAAAAGATCGATAAGCAAAGAAAATTTTAAAGGAATAGAATAGGGGAGGGGGCATGCAAGTGATGTTGTGCGGAAGCGTCAACCAAGTGCGAGTGAAAAATAAACACAACTAGCAGGAGATAAAATGAACACAAACAACACCAACAAGAACACCAAGATTTATACTGGTTCGGCAATGCCTACATCCAGTTTGGAGACGACGGAGTATTCCACTATAATCAATGAGAACATACAACAGTGTTTATCACTCAATTTCCCAAAGACCCAAATAACCCAAGCTCACACATTTACAATAGGAAGAGAAACTGAAAATACAAAGCAAAGACAACTTGAGAGAATTTTCTTCTCTCTGCCGAATGGCTTCTTGCTGTTTCTCTCCCTCTACTCTACTTCTTCAGCTGCTGCCATACTTCTCAATTTATAGAGAAGCCAACGGGTGAAGGCCAGCTAGTCAAATTATGAGGCCAACTATGAAGTCAGAAAGCCAGCCAAGTTTGCATGGCTTTTGTCTCCCACGTGCTCCCATCTTCTGCCAAAGCTTCAATATTCCTCTGCAAAGGCGCTGCAAAGTTGTTATTCACCTGCAAAGCTGCTGCCCCCACATGACAGCATCCTCCCACATGATAGCACAAAGTTCTTTCGGTGCAAGTTGAGCCATAATCAACAAGTGATGTGTCTATCCCTCGGCTAAGATTTTCTTCATTTCTCTGGTACGTAAAAGGGAATAAGATGATTTCCAAAAGGAAAATAAGAAAATAAGAGATGAAATGAGAATCTCCTCATGTAACTACAGATCAACATCTTATTCATTTCCTATACAAACCAAAAGCAAATTACTATTTAATTTGTTTCATTCTTTCAATATGTCCAACTTCGAAGTGATTGAAAATATTGACACCTATGCGTTCCACACCCCTCCAGTCTTCCTCTTTACAAAAGAAGGAGCACAAATCCTTCCTCTCTTCCAACCATCCCTTCATCCCATCCTCTCTACCAAACAAAGTTTAAAAGGAACAAGTTAGTGCATACTTACTTCCCAAACATGAGCTGATAGAGAAAGATATTTAACATTGGAAATTCCAGCCAGAAGTGCATTTGCACGGTTAGAAAAGTCGGGCTGTTGATCCGCCACAGCATGGCTAAAGAGATTAAGACTGGCTTTGACCAGGGATTTTGCATTCTTGAATAAATATTTCGACAAAATATCCTGCTTTAGATCAATGTTTTCAAGCTTTGGACAATTAATAAGAAAACAGTACTGATGATCATGATCGCCAACCCAGTTTCTATGCGGCAATATCAATCTTAACGTCTTTAGTTCAGGAGCAGATATCTTGAAATTCAAAACATCATCTGATCCAAGAAGTCCATCTATAGTCAAATCTTCAAGTACAGGACAGCAAGAAAAAATCTTTTCCATCGAATCATTAACAGGATATTCAACTCTGACATGGAGAATCTTGAGACTTAGGAGGAAACACCCTGACGCAGGAGGAGCATTGGTAATACAATTTGACCTCAACTTCAAAACCACCAGTGTTTTACACATGAAAATGAATTGGGGCAACTCAAAAGCCAGGTCTTTATCTGTTGTTTCAAAACAAAGATCAAGTTCAACAACATTATGCTGGATAGCAGTTCGAATCCAACCATCAATACGAGCAAAATCCTTAATACCGTAGGAACAATGAAGACAGAATTTTTTAATATCTGATGAACCACGAAGGGAAATCACACGATCAACAAATGTCAAGAAACCAGCAGAGGTAGACTTGTCTTTCTTTCTGTTGAAAAAATAAGACTTGGCTTCTACATATTTGAAGTCTAGGTTGGGAACAAAAGCCCATACGTTCTTCCATCTTGTAGAGAGAATGCTGGTCCTCACCGCATATTTTGTTGGGAGGAACGAAAGGATGTGACAAAGTACTTCATTTGGTAATTTACTGATCTTGTCTTCAACTCTTGCTGGAGGATTTGACTTCTTATTTGGTATCTTCCCACCCATTAGTAAGAGACCCTTTACCCTCGAACCCATCTTTATGTCTCTGTGCATTTGGATAAAATAATTAATTAATTAAAACTAAAAACTCCTAATTTTTATGTCTCTGTTCAGTTACTTAGAAACATTAAACTATTCATGTATGAAGAAATATGAAATTCTATTTTCTAGGGAAAAGCTTTCCGATGAAAACAGACAGACCCAAGAAAAAAGATCATCAAAGGAACAATTTTCCGGAAACCATATTCGATCTAGAATTAGCAACTGAAAAGAGAGATTACATTTTCTTCACAAATAAACAATGCAAAGGGAAAGACTTGTACTTTCCATGAATCATTTCTCAGTTTCTCGGTAACCAAACAGATGGCACGGAAGAAGCTAAAGGGTTATGAAGAAAAAAGTACCTGAAACGTTCTGAGATGGCCGAGTAGAGCCCTAGTGTGAGCGAATAGTAAAAGCCCTGCTTGGTTGTCGAGAAACGGCGGGAAAGGCTAAGAAAATTGTAACCACAGGTACGACGCCGCTTTGACCATCTCTGTTGC